GCTTAACCGACTGCGCCACCCAGGCGCCCCCTGTTTCCGATTCTGTGTCTCCCTCTCTCTCTGCTCCTCCCCTGTTCATGCTCTGTCTCTCTCTGTCCCAAAAATAAATAAAACGTTGAAAAAAAAAATTAAAAAAAAAAATAAAAGTGAGGGAGCTTAATTATTAAGTAGAGCCAGGTTGAGTAGATTCTGGTCTTAGTTGATGGCTTTTAACAGGGTGCACAAGGGAAGTTACATAATGTAAAAATGCATCCCTAAAGCAAAACATGTGGTTACTTTCTACCTTCTAAATGTGTCATAATTTTTTTAAAAAATTAGATGATTTGTTGTATTGTGAAATTACATTTTATTCAACTTCAGTGAATTAAAACCTTATCTAATTCAATATTGATCCTGACAAAGAATGGCTGATACTTGTTTTCCAGTTTAGGAAATAAGCACAGGTATGTGCAGTTCTGACAATGGAATGAACAGAATTTACACTTTGCTCTCCAATGTTGCAGTTATATCATTCTTGATAAATGTTTATTTATTTTGTGGAATTTGCATATTTAGTCATATTGTTTTAAAATAACTCAAATGTATGTAAAATTCAGATGTACTTATAATTTTAGCATTTTTATGAAATAATTATAGATTCTTAAATTCTCATTTTAAATCAATGTTTACTGTGGAGAACTATTTTTTGAAAAAACAAAAATCTATCTTGTGAACCACTTTTGATCTAATTGTCAGATTGGGTTTTTTTTTTTGCCACAGAAGAGTATATAATTTTAATTATTAGGACTGTCAAGTGGAAGCCTATTAAAGCAAACCGATAGGACATAATTGATAGTAAGCAGAACTGTTTAAGTGAAAGTAGCGATATAACTAAGATTGAGCAATAGTTTTTAGCTTTGTGTTATTATTAAGAAGCTGCTATTCGGGGTGCCTGGGTGGCTCAGTCGGTTAAACATCTGACTTCAGCTCAGGTCATGATCTCACAGTTTGTGGGTTCATGCCTCGTGTCAGGCTCTGTGCTGACAGTGCAGAGCCTGCTTGGGATTCTCTCTGGCTCTCGCGCTCTATCTCTCTCTCTGCCCCTCCCGGACTCACACTTTGTCTCTCTCTCAAAATAAATAAACTTAAAACAAACAAACAAACAAAAAAAACTGCCATTCAGTGCTCTTAATTCAGTAAATGCTCATTTTCTTTAAAATGAATTTATTTTTAGACATTTGGCATTATTTTCTAGAGATGACAGAATTTATCACTTGATTGTGGGTTACCTTTAACTGTACTTTTAATTAATGGCCTTATCATAAGGTCATTATAACTTTGAAATTTCATTCTCTGCTGATCCTATGTATTTTATCAATTATTCTTAAATAATTACAACTGAAATTAATTACTTATTAAAGTTCAGGCATTTAAATCTTATATTTTAAAGGAGAGTATATATTATAGTATAAACATAAACCATTTCAAGTATGTGTAGTGTATTGGGCAAAGTATTGAGTAGTAAGTATGTTTTTCCTTTTGACATGTTAATGTCATTGTTTTTAGAATCTTCAGCTAGATGAGGAAACCCAATATCAAACTGCTGTTGAGGAATCTTTTCAAGTAAACATCTGAAGGCTGTAGACATCTCTGCATCTTTGTGCCTGCAAGTGCCATCTTTAAGGGGAAAACTACATGAAGTCACCGTTTCAATAACTTGATGTGTGTATTAATAAAAGTAATTCAGTCTTTTGATTTAGTTTTTCAATTAAAAAATAAAGGTGAACCATCTAAAAGTGAAAGTTAGGACATATTCTTTAAAAATATTGAAAGGATTATATTTCATTAATGGAAAAAAGGGATTCCCTGTTGTACTTAACTTTTTTATATTATACATGTTTGACTTTTTCCTTATGTTGCTTTTGGAATTTGGTGCAGTTCTCCCATTGATGTTCTTGTACACAGGTAACACACAGTAGCACATCCTGAAAGATGTGATTGATATAAACCTACCAAATCTGAGCCAGTTATCAGAGTTGCAGAATGGAGACTTGAAGTGCTAAATGAAACAATCCAAAGGAAACTTTTTTAATACAGATTCTAGCTGAAGAATTCATCTATAAGAAAATTGTATTTATATAATGTTTAGTATTTTTGAAGACTAGTGAGATTTCTTTAATAATTATAACTCTTTAAAAAGTGAAAGTTCATTGTAAAGATATTTCCTTTTTGCTCTAGAAGGAAATATTAAGAGAAAAATTTCTTTGGTGGGCAGTTGGTAATTTCAAATCCTGTTTGTTTGGCTGACTAATTTGTAAACCTAAAGTATATTAAGCTGAAATACAGCTCTTTGGCCTCAGAGTTTTCAATTGCCAGTATTTCTCTTTAGCTAAGATGAAACTTTCGTTAGAAACTTTCAGTTGGTGATATCATATTCTACGTCTATGAGGTTTGGCTTCATCTCAGTTTAGAAATTCATTCAAAGCTAAAGATGTGTATGTATATATGCATATGCTTTTGTATGTATATATACACACATATGCATGCAGTTTGTCAGGTTATCTACAGAATTTCTATTAAGGTTTTTTAAATATACAAGCAATATGGGATTGACGTATTTATCTAATTTGATTAAAATTTTGTATATCACCCAACTTTTAAAAGGTAACAGTCAAATGCTAAGTGGTCTAGTTGGCTACTATTACACCTTAAAATTGAATTTACACACGTACATAATTACCTTGTTTATATGGTGCTCATTTGTTATTCTCAAAGATAATGCATGACTATGAAGTAATGAGATGGATGCTACCAGCTATTCTGTTTCACTACTTTTTAGTCAAAACTGGGTTTGTTCTTCATATTTATTAATGAGAATCATAAAATAACTTGTACTAGAAGGCCTAAACCACAGAACGAAAGATAAAGAGTGTTATTAGTTGACATTCCATACTAACATGCATTGTTTATGCTCTCTTTAAAATAACTAAAAGAACATAAAAGAAAATCTCAGAAGTAGTTTGCTGCTAACATATACATATATTGTATGAAAGGGTATATTTTGGTTTTGTTAAAACCCTTGTTGACTTTTCTACAGTGAACATTTTTTTTAAACTTCATTTAATAAAAATGTTAATTTTGAAAGTGGAGTTTTGTAAAAACCTTTTTCAGTCAAACAGTAATGACTATGGGTAGTAATAACAATCACCAAAAAAAGCCATACATCTTAATAACATATGCCTTTGTTCTGTCATTCGAAAGAGTGATGTTTACTATGTGCTTGAACATTTTCTCTGCAGTTACAAGAGTGTAATTGGAAGAATAGCTCTTTAATGAACTCTTTTAAAAAGATTTTTGACCATAGGTTTTTCCAGTTTAAAGCAATAACTTTAGTACTTTCTTTCAAAGTTAATACTTCCAGTATATCAAGTTAAACCGTTCTGAGATTTGAGAACTTCTTTAAAGGACAATTGTAATAGAGATCACCTTGATGAAATTGTGTTTTGAAGTTTGTGGATTAGTTAAAATATCAATAATATTCTTGTGTGTCTTTCCTATAAGCATTTTCAGAAGGAAAATATTGACTGCTATTATCTGGGAACTCCTCAGTATGGAAATGTTTGTTTAAAATCTCACCTTTTGTCAGTGGTTTAGAAATAGGGACAGGCTTTACAGATTTACAGCTTAAATTCAAGGAGGGAAACTCTATTATAGATACTCTGATACCTTAAATTTCACAATACCACTTATATTTCCCTCAGCAAATTACAGTTTATGTTGTTAAACAGAGTCTTATTTGAGATGTATTACTTTATTTTTCAATTAAAAGTGGTTTTCTCCTACTTGTGTGTCTAATTAAAATTTTGTCTAGAGGCAAACATGATAACATTTAATTCTCATAACTCACCCTAGAAGACATGTAGGAGATAACCCACCATTTTGCACTTAAAAAAGTGGCTAGGAGAAGGCTATGCTGATGCAGTATGTTGGATTTAACTTGATAACCCCATTTTACTTCAAATGGTAAGTCAATTTAGAAGGCTATTCTGTCAAGTGTTTATGCAGCAAGATTTCCAAGCCCTGTTAGCAACCAGGCAGAAAGCTAGTTAACTGGTTAATAAACACTTTTATATGGAGAAATTACCCTTAAGTAAGATATCAGGGCTGTAAGAACATATTGCCAAGTACAATGTCAGGTATCTTTTGGGCTGCTTAACAAGTATCAGTTATCTTCACTGAATCTTAACTTTTATAGAAATCCAATAGGGCTGCTACTCAAAGAATAAACCCTTTGAAGAGGTGATGACATTTTAGCCTTTGTAGAAGGTGTGACCCAGAAAACATGTAAATACATGTAGTATAAAACTCATAATAGAAATATGAATAAAGTACTCATTCCATGATACCACTTAGTGTCAATATAATTTTCTATTATGCAATACAATTTTGAAAAAAGGTGTGGAATGGAGAGGAGTTAAGCAATTAGAATACAGGAGCCTCAAGAAAATGGGTATTAACCACCTGATTCCCTCCTAATCCAACATCAGTTGTCCAATCCTGGGGCTGAGAGAAGGGACAGTCACCACACTCACATCCCTGAAATTAAAAAAAAAAAAAAGTGTATTGCATTATGTACGTTAACTTACAAACTTGCATTAAACTATACTATACTATACAGTTTCCTGTATTAATAAGAACCCTTGAGAGTATAGGTGAGGCATCTACCATTACAGAATTCAAGATGATCAGGGAAAGGGAGTGAATGTGGAGGAGACCTAATCAGATGAGTTAACAGCCACTCTGTGCAAGGGAAGAAGAAACACCTGAAACGTGAATGAAGACATTTCCTGTCAAATGCAAAACAACGCATGATAATGTGCACGAAGTGAACAATTGCCTGTTGTAATTGGAGCTTAGATCAAGAGAAAACATTACTAGAATCCCAGAAATCCCCTAATTTCTACTTGCAGTCACAACTGGCCACCACCACTAACTTCTAATACCATAGATTCTGCCTGCTTTTATGCTTTATAGGAAAGGACGCACACAGTAAAAACCTGGCTACTTTTGCTCAACATTTTGAGATTTTTATATGTAGGTTTTAATTTAGTCAAAAGCAGCCTACAGTAACTTGTCTTTTGTCCAGAACAAAAAAGCTAAAAAGTAGCTTCTCAAGCTACTTTTTAATATGTGTGAATGTTAGATGCATTGCAAGTGGTTCTTTGATGTATGCTGGCACTTGTAGGTGCCAGATCTAGGTAAAAGCTGAAAACTGGCTGGCCTTCCCCTCATGAAGCTGCGGAAAGACAGGTGGACAGTGTAACCAATGGCCTTCCACAGCTTTTGCCTGACCTTTCTCGTAAGCTATGTGTGGGATGTTCTTTTTCCAGGGCATTTTGTAGGCAGTGGATTCTAATAAGTGTAGGGACTATTTTCCCTGGGAATTGAGTCTAATGCTACCAACAGAGTTACTGTGAATACACAAGAAGAGATACTGAAAGTGTTTAAAACAACCAAGACTAGTTTCTCAGGTTAGTCTGGTTTTCATGATTCTGCAGGCTGATCCATGGTTTTGGACAAATTACTTAGCCTCTCACATTTGTGGGTCTGAGGATTGAGTGAGTTTATACACAAAATTCTTGGAACACAGCCTGTTATCTTACTGTGTATTCAGTACACTTCTACCAATTATGTTTATATCTGTCAGGTTCTCTCAAATCCTACTAGGAAAGTCTGGGATAATGTTTCTTTCCTTTTAGCATACAGGTTCTAAAAGGTTATGATTAGTCTTTGTTATCTGCAACTTTTGCAGGAACATCTGAGACCTTGTGTTTGTCTCCAAGAAGTACAAATACTCCAGGTAATGAGGACTTCTAAGTAAAAATATCTTTGGGGTGCCTGGGTGGCTCAGTTGGTTGGGCATCTGACTCATGATCTCAGGTCAGGTCAGATCTCAGGGTCGTGAGTTCTGGTCCTGTGTTGGGCTTCACGCTGGACAGAAGCCTACTTGCGGGCAGTAACGGTGGCTCATTCGGTGAAGCATCCCACTCTGTTTTGGCTCAGGTCATGATCTGGTTTCGTGTGTTTGAGCCCCACATCAGGCTCTTAGCTGACAGTTCAGAGCCTGCTTGGGATTCTCTCTTTCCCTCTCTCTCCACCCCTCCCCCACTCATGCTGTCTCCGTCTCTCAAATAAAACTTAAAAATATATATTTTTTAAAGTATAATCCTTATAAAGAATAATCAGCTCATAATCCTACTGAGCAATCAGATATATGTCCAGGATTTATTTATTGATGAGGAATTTAACCCCCTACCCTCCTCCCCGGTTTTATTCAAATATAGTTGATGTACAGCCCTGTGTAAGTTTAAGCTATACAGCAAAATGACCTAGATTGTGAAATGATTACCACAGTAAGTTTAGTTAACCTCCGTCATCTCCTGTAGATACAAAAAACAGGGTTTTTTTCCCCTCTTGTGATGAGAATGCTTGTGATTTACTCTCCCCACTTTCAAAGATACCATACTACAGTGTTAACTATAGTCCTCATGTGCATTATCGCCCACTTTATTTTTAACATGCCTGGTTCTTAGCCAGCAATTAACTTGAAGAAACCACTGTCTAGGAGAAAACTTACTTTGA